TTTATAAAGTATATTGAAAAAAGCTACTGAAAGAGTTCTAAAAGTGGGAAGTTTTAAGCAAAAATTTATCAAGACAATTTTCAAAAAGGTTAGGACAAGCAATAGGGCATTTGGATTTAACTTGTATAAGGTAAAGTTAGGACTTTTGTGAAAGATATTATTTCATATATTATGTTTATATTAATATCTCTGAAGTGATATTGAATTTATATTAAATAGTAACAAAATGTTTTTCTTTGTGTTTAATATTAAGTACTTCTAATTATTAAATTTGATTCTTTTTTTATTATTATATTTATGTAAAATTGTGTTTAAAAATGATTAATATATAGTAAAGAAAATCAGCTCAAAGTAAAACAAGCTAAAAGAAGAAAATATAAAAATATAACAAAACATTTAAAAAAAAAATTATAAGCATTATAATATAAAGAAACTGCTATAAGATTTAAAGAAATTATATTATTTCAGCTACATTTTAGGAGAAAATATATCTTTTATCAATACCAAAGATATTTTTAAAATTTAAAATTTAATAAAGAAGATTTTTATATATTATTTTAAAAATATATTTACGAGCCAAAATTTATTTAGGAATTTAAAGTAGAATTATCTGATATATGTAAACGTATATTAAAAAAAAATTGTATATATTTTTATATATAAAAAACGACATCAAAACATATCATATCAAACTGTTTGTATTAAGTATATTTAGTTTATTAAGTAATATACGCATACACAATAGCTTAAATAGAACTATTGAAGAAATAATAATTTTGTAATAATTATTTTTAACTGCACAATTTTATTGTAAATTAGAAATGAGAGTAATGAAACTAAATTTACTTCTTAAATCTGAATTATGTGTCGTGAAAATCTAAAAATGTTTATATATAATACTATAGACTACTGTTATATTATTCAACTATTTAAATATATTTTTAACTCTATAAAATATAAATTTATTTAATAAGTACCTTTTCAATTATTTTAAATAAAACATTATAATAATATAATTGTATTATATATAAAATCCATTTTATAAAAGGGAGACCTAATGTATATTTATTTCATATATAATATAGATTGTCCACTTATAAAATCACATTCCCATATACTAATCTTCTAAATTTGTTGATTATGGACGTAAATTTGTCACTATTAGAACCGCTTCATTGCTTCAGTAAAGATACTTTTGACATAGTATCTTTAAATATTATAACAAATACAATAAAAATGTAGACATCAAAAAATTTTTATATGCGTACTATGAGCAGATAGAACTAAAGATTCGCAGTATTGTACGTATTAAGCAAAAAATGGATCATATTTAAAAATAATTCAAAGTTTAGTAAAATAGTATAGCATTTTTAAATATGAATACAGCTTGAACATACTTTATATTTAGTTATTATCAGAAATATTAGAAACTATTGCTTTTAATTATTTGTAAAGAATTTGTTGTGAACAACTTACACATAAAATATATATACTATTATGATATATAAAAATTATCTCTAAAGATAAAACTTACAAAAAGAATACAGAATACAGTAAAAAATAATCGAATCTTTTAGGTATATAATTTAATTTGAAAGAGTTCCAGAGAAATAAATTTTACTATGTGCTTTTATATATTAACTATTTTTAAACTGTTAAATAACTACAAAGAAATAATGTATTAAATTGATATACTGAACTATATACATAGAGATGAATTCATATTCTAAGCTTTACTTGGTGTACTTTGCTTTTAAGTAATACTATAACGTATACTATAATATTGTAACGTATAAAAAGTTAATAGTTTTGAAAATGAACTAAACTAAGCTCTCACCACGGTTTATCTAACAGTTTTAATTTTAAAAAATTTTTAAAAATGTTAATATACTTTTTTTTAGACTTTCACGTTTACACATTAATATTGCACTAAAGAAAATAACTAAAACTAAACCAAAACTAAACAAATTTAAGTACATAAATTTTTTTAAATAAAACAAATAGAAATAAAACAACTTAGAGATTCAAGAATACTGAAATTGTTGGTGTACTTTGCTTTTAATTATTAAATAAAGAATTATTTGTTTTTTAATATTTTCAATATTATACTTTTGCAAATTGCTATTGAATATTTCTTATTTTATTTGAGTTTGACGAGAAATTCAATAAGAAATTTGAATGTGAATAGCATTTAATAATAATAATTTTGCAATTACTAATTTAGTGTAGATATTTTAAAAATTTTTCCAAAGATTTTAATTCGATAAATGGGATATTCGGGTAGTAAAGTCGTAAAATCACAAAGAAAAACTTTACCTTTCGTTGACCAGTTTATCACAAAAAGGATTCCTGGGTTGACGTTTCATAATATCAGATTCAGCTTCTTCATAGGCTAAGGAAATAGCTGGGACCTAGTATGTTTGTAACAATTTAAAAAGAATACAAAAAATGAGGAAAGGCACAAACAACATTTAAGAGCACTGCTTTTGGCAAATTTCAATTTACAATCAATATAAGCATAGCTTTTTCTTTTTTACATATCTTAATAATACATTAAAAATAGTTATTGATTAAAAAAAAAATAAAATCAAATATACAACCTAAACTGGGAGCTAAACACAAAACCCCTACATTTATATAGATTTTTTAAAATTGTTTTTACCTATATATTATATATAAATTATATTATATAAATTAATGTTCATGACGATTTTGTTTTTGAAAATGAGTACGCTCACGATTATAATTTTGATAAATTATATTTTACAAAAAAATAAATAATAGTTCTACAATTAAAAGAAATTATATACAAAAATTAATTGATTGCATATATATAAGTATTTATAAATAATAAAAAATTAATTTTATTATGTGCAATTGTTTTATATATTGTATTTATATATATTTATATATGTCAATGTACATTTTCATATGCAAAAAGTGTATTAAAAACAATTTTGAAGATCATTGCCAAATTATTAAACTACTTTTTTGCTCTTAATTGCAAATTTCAAATTACGACACATAATTAATTAATTAAAAATATATATTCATATGCTAAGCACACGTACACACATGTTATATATTAAACAATATAAATCTGTGTGAGTGCGCAACGAGTAGTGTTAGACTACTAACTTAGAAATTAAATATTTTTATATAAATAAAAATTTCAAATTAAATTGAAAAGAAATAACTTATAACTTATTGTTTTAAAAATATTTATGTTCTTTAAGAAATATTTACATATACGCACATAATAATTTCTTTATAATATGCATTTAGAAATGCTTATTGACGAACTTTAATGACTTTTACTTTAATATTTTAATTATTAAAAATTTTTAAGTGTTTTTCTACAGAAAACAGAAATATTTCTTTTATTTTCTTTTTACATTTTGTGTACATTACAGAAGATACACAATGCACATTTCACCATTTTTAAAATGAAATTTATTTAAATAATTATTTTTTCATATTATTTTTATGTAACTTCTCCACAATATGAAAAATGTTTTTTGTCTTAAATTTTATATACACAAGTATAATTCTACATTTTTTAAATTAATTTTATTTATTTTAATATGTATGTATATGCAAAATATATGAACTATTCATAAATATTTTTAAAATAAATTTAAATAATAAATTTAATATTAAGCAATTTTTTTATTAGTAAAATTTGATAAGTCTGTTAATAATTTAATTAATAAAAAAATTAATCAATTTATTACACATCTAAGCGCATTAATCAGTTTTAAAACTTAAACACGAACTAAAAACTTTACAAATCACAAATTTTTTAATGACATTTATGAAATTAAAGAAAAAAATTATTTTTATTAATTAAAAAAAGACAACTCTTATAAAAAAAAAACTACCAAAAAATGTACAGTTACAATTTGATGCAACCATGACGTTTGAAGTTTTGGTGTGGAATGTATGGTGCAGTTCAGTGAAAACGATGACAAAATGATGAGAGTTTTATGCATCCTTCAATGAGATCATAACTTATTATGTATTTAAATGTATGGAGATTATGAATGTTATTCATGATGCATTTTTTTAAATACTTAGACTAAATGTTTAACAATAATCACAAACATTTATTAAAGGCACATTTGTTAGTTATTGCACTTAGCTTAAAAGTAAAATATATTATATTGGATTATAATTTAGTAAATTTTAGTAAAAACTCGTAGTGTTGGAAACAAGTAAGTTGTTAAATGACGACAATCACTTAATGTGTTATCAATCAATCAATCCATCCACAATTTGAATTAAATATCACTTAACCATATATGCACTTTATATAGTTTACAGTGTTTTTTTCTTTTTTTTTTTGGGTAGCAAAGGTTAGAATGGTTTTTTAATGATTTTTATTAATAACAAAAAATAGAATTTTTAGCACCTTGAATTGACTAATTTATCGTTGAATGGATCACGTGGTGGACGCTTCATAATATCAGCTTCAGCATGTTCATAAGCCAACGAAATAGCAGGCACCTATTTTATAATATTTGAGAGCATGAAGGATGAGTTCGCAAAAACAAAAATATTTGGTATTATTATGTAAAAGGATAAACAAATAATTATAATAATTAAACATGTAGATTTCTTAAACTAGCTTCTATACTTCAAAAGTTATCTGCTTCGGTTTATATATATGATAATTACAACTATTAGATACGTTTTAGCTTTGTTGGCAGTACATAAATTGCAGAAATAAACATAAAGTAGGTTGAAGATAATTTGGAAATATGTAAACGTTGATCCTTAAGCTAGCATCAGTTTAGTTTTCCGAAAGCTCCAAAACCAGGTTTCATTTAAGCTACACTTTTTTAATGTAAGGATATTAAGCAAATTATATACGTTTAAAGTAAACAATTTAAACTCGCTTAAATAAGCTACATTTCGCCCTCTTTTAGCGTACAATTACGTCATTAATTAAAGGCTAGTTTCTATCCATCTACCTAGCCATCAAGTTCAAAAATGTTTACCTTTCGTTGACCAGTTTATCGTAATATGGATTACGAGGACGTCGTTTCATAATATCCGATTCATGTTCTTCGTAAGCAAGCGAAATTGCTGGTACCTATTTGGTGTGTATTTGGTTTATGTTTTTTTTTTTGTTTTATTATTATTATTTAATGTATGATGTTATTTCATACGTTGTGTAACGTTGTGTTATTTGATTGTGTGTTTTTATATATTATACGAAAATATTAAATATTTATTATTTAAATAGAATATAAACTACTTTTTTTATATAACCTTAACATATGCTTATGTTTCACTTATACTTAATGACTAAAACATCTTATAAAAAACGAAAAAGAAATTACTTTCAAATTAAATAAGAAATACAGAAATAAATAATAGGAATTAAATTAAATTGTATAGTTAAGATATTGATTGTGATCATTTAAGTCATTACTTACCATGTCAGTACCCAAATCGATGCACAAAATTGTCACTGTTCCCAATGGCAGTGGTATATCGCAAAGGATGAAAGCTAAGAAAGGTGAAATTTCGGGAATGTTCGATGTTAATGTGTATGCAATGGATTTCTTTAAGTTATCGAAAATCAAACGGCCTTCTTCCACACCAGTAACAATTGAAGCAAAGTTATCATCTAACAGAATCATGTCAGCAGCCTACACATATATAGGTAATTTAGTTTATTTATTTAAAAAATAAAAAATACAAGTGAATACTTACTTGCTTGGATACATCGGAACCAGCGATACCCATAGCAACACCAATATCAGCTTTTTTAAGAGCAGGTGAATCGTTGACACCATCACCAGTGACAGCGACAATAGCACCCATACGTTGGCAACCTTCTACAATAATCAGTTTTTGTTGTGGGGAGGTACGTGCAAATACAATTTCAGTGTGGTAACGTAATATGTCATCCAACTGTTCTGAAGCAATATCACGCAATTCAGCACCATGAACTACTGCAGCCTTAGCTTCACGAGGATTTACTTCAGAAACTGGTATATTCAAACGCTGAGCAATGTCTTCTACAGTTTCGTTGCCTTCGGAGATAATACCGACAGATTTGGCAATAGCCTTGGCAGTGATAGGATGATCACCAGTGACCATAATAACTTTAATACCGGCAGAACGGCATTTGGCAACGGCATCAGGCACAGCAGCACGTGGAGGATCAATCATTGACATAAGACCAACAAAACGTAAGTTATCAATTGGGAAATTTACATCATCCGTATTGAATTTAAAACCGGTTGGATATTTATCAGATGGCAGCATAAAGTCACAGAAGCCTAACACACGTTCACCCAAACCTCCGAGTTCCATATAAGCGTTATTGAAAGCCTCTTTCATTTCTTCATCAAGCACCTTTTCTTTGCCATTAATGAAAATAGTTGAACAACGTTCTAAAATTCTTTCAGGAGCACCCTTCATAACAAGCAAATAACGTGGATCGCTTGGATCTTCAGTTTCGTGTATCGAGACTTGATATTTGTTCGTAGAGTTAAATGGAATTTCAGCAATTTTACGATTACGTTTACGAATATTCATAACATCACCAAGAGCCAATTCCATACATTTTAGTAAAGCAGCTTCAGAGGCATCACCGCTAACTTCCTTCTTTAAAATTGGCACACCTTCCTGGCCGCCCTTGAATTCAGCTCGATTACAGAGAGTGGCAATGCGAGAGAGCGCCTTGAAACCAGGGCTAGTTCTATCGTATTGAACACCCGACTGATCTTCGGTGGTATCTGCTTCTATGATCTGATTATCGAACCACATGTGAGCAACAGTCATACGATTTTGAGTTAGAGTACCAGTTTTATCAGAACAAATAGTTGAAGTTGAACCCAAAGTTTCGACAGCTTCCAAATTTTTTACTAAACAATTCTTTGAAGCCATACGTTTAGCTGTCAGTGTCAAACATACAGTAACAGTGGCCAATAAACCTTCAGGTACATTAGCGACAATAATACCAATCAGGAAAATAACAGCGTCCAACCAGTGATAACCCAAAATGAATGCAATAATGAAGAATGTAACACCCAAGAATACAGCTACGCCAGTAATTAAATGAATGAAATGGTGAATTTCCTTGGCAATTGGTGTTTCTCCAGTATCTAAGCCAGAGGCCAGACCAGCAATACGACCCATAACAGTGTGATCACCGCAACTGATTACAACACCTTTAGCAGTACCTTCAACAGCATTAGTAGAGAAGAAAGCCAAATTTTTTGTTTCCAATGGATTCTCATGTGTAAATTCAGGGCCACGTGACTGAGGTTCTGATTCACCAGTCAAGGAAGAATTGTCTACTTTAAATGTGCGTGCCTCAATAATACGTATGTCCGCAGGAATACGATCACCGAATTTCACTTCAACAACATCACCCAATACCAGATCTTCAGCGCGTAGGGTGAGCTTTTCGCCTTCACGTATGACTGTGGCAAATTGAGGCACCATGTTTTTGAAAGACTCCATAATTTTGGAACTTTTTGATTCCTATAAATAAACACAAATGTGCATTTTTATTTATAAATAAGAAAAAGCATAAAATTAAGCAGAACAAACCTGGTAGTATGAGAAAATGCCAGTAACTATGACTACAGCCGAAAGTACAATACCCAAATATAAATTATCATCGGATGGCTCTTCGCTAGTACTAGCCAATATAGCATAAGCTACAAAACAAAGTATAGCACCAATCCACAGCAACATGGCGAAACCACCAAACAAGTTTTTACAAAATTTCACCCATTCGGGCGTTTGTTTGGGTGGTGTGAGAGCATTTGGTCCATCGCGTTCTAGATTCTCCTTGGCCTTTGCATGACTTAGACCCTAAAAGAAAAATGTTTTTTATAAATTAAATCATAAATAAAAGTTATGATTGCTAAAAAAAACTTACGTTTTCAGGATGTGTCTGAAATCGCTGATATAGTTCTTCAGGAGAGATTTTATGATAATCGATATCTAACTCCTGTTTGAGATCATCTAAATTCTCTTTTTTAGCTACTTTAGCAGGCATTTTGCGTCTTGACTGTTTTAAAAAATTAAAATTTTAAACGATTGTTAATTATAAGAATATTTTAATAAATTATAAAAGTAAAGCGTTCTTCAAAATAAATTCATAAAATGATAATTAATTTTAACATTTACTCGTACTAACAGGTTTTTATTATGTGTCGTGTTGATATATAGCAATATACTGCTATATAATAACACTTTTTTTTATTTCATATGATTATGTATAACGTACAAATGAAATCGCTTTACTTTTATAAAATTATATTATTATTCATAAAGATAACTGACGTCCATACAAAACCGATTTACTTCATGCCATTTATATACTTTTAGTTAATCATTTAATACTTCATGTGCTTGTGTGCATAAATGTGTATTTCATATTTAACCGTCTGTTTTGGTAATTACAATCGCCGTGTTTATTACGAGTGTAAGCTGTTATTATAGGAAGCACCACTAAACCCTTTATTATAATTATTTATTAAATTATTTATAACATATATAATTATATGTACCAGGTTAGTTTCTACCAAGTTCAAAATAAGAGTACTAATACCTTTACAATACTATTACTTTTACAACACCAACAACAGTTTTACCAATACTACTACTTACCAGTTAATCGTATACTTTATACTCGTATGAAAGCCAAAATAATAACCAAAATGTATGTATTGTGTGAATAAGATGAAGTGGATATGTTTTTAAATATCGTAGGGTGTACGATTATTTATGGATGTGTTTGTGATAGTTCATTTGTTATGCAGAATAAGCAAAATTAAAATAATTAATTAGTAAAAAAAAAAATGAAATAATAAATAATAATTATATTGAGCATAACTCGTGCAAAAATGTTAATTTAGAAAATCTACAGCTTAATATTGAGATAAAGAAGGGCATCTGTGAGATAATTTAAAAACTCATATGAAATTATTCTTTGTTTGTATTTTGAAAGTCCATTGGTTTCAGAAACTATAAACAATTATTGACACAGTTCGCTCATTAAAAGTATATTCTAATAATAATTATAATTTGATTTTTCTCAATTTTAAGTATTTTCAAATGTCAAATTTTGTTATTTTTCTGACCTCCAGAATATTTATAATTAGATGATCAATTCTGTACATAATAGATAATTTTTTGTCACATTACAACTAAACTGAAAAAGTGCAAATAATGGGTGGTAATATAACTTTTTGTTTTTTTTTTTTTTTGAATTTCTGCAAATACGTCAACAAAGTTTGCGGCGGGAAAACTCATCGATGAGTGATGAGCACGCGGTTGCACAGTGGAATGAACTTTAATAAATAATTATCATATTGTTACGTAATGGTTGACATATTAATATATATATTAATAATACCTAATTAGGGAATATTTTAATAGTTAATTGTGTAATAGTTTTTTGGAGAATCAGTATTATTACGACCACCAGATTTGCAATAATACTTTTTTTCATTGGAACATAATAAGAATAGAATCATGACAAATTAGAAATTCGAATGAAATGAATATTTGAATATTTTTTTAAATACATATTGTTTTTAAAGTAATAATAACTTTATGCATGCCAAAAATGATATTAATACATTTCGAAATTTTGTTTTCTATTTTTAGTGCTATTAACTGGCACTTGCTTACTTAAGCACTGATTACTTGCGTGAACGACATGGAGAAGACTTACTGCTCACTGTAATTAATATAAATTCAATTTAGTTGAGAAATTCATATGCAGTGCGATATTTTTAATGTATGATTTAATTAAGGATTTTTTAGTTGTTTCTTTTTTTTTTATTACTTATATATGAGAATATTGAAGAGAACTTTTTAGTCAACTCAGAATTGATTTAACTAACTATTATAGATAAGTTTTCGCAATATAATATTGTGGGGTAGTTTAAAATTAAAACGATATTATTACATTTCGTACATCCGTATGTAAACTTCTATAAGTAAAGAACCAAATTTGTGAAAAATTGGAAATTTGCTTTAAATCACACTGTAAAAAATATTTCGTCAATTTCGGACTACAAACGTATCTATGCATGTATATAAAATGTATGTGCTCAAAAATGTCTTATTAAAAATAAATTAAAAATGTTAAATGTCAAAAATAAATAAATGAATAAAAGTGCTAGACTGTTAGTAGCAGAGCCAAGAATAGATGCTAATAGAAAAACTAAACCATAAGAAAACTGCAAGAAATTAGGAGATTATTATTAGAGCCCAATTTTTTATTTGGTACAAATAAAATAAAAAAAAATGCAAAATATGTTTATTTATATATTTCAAGAAAGTTTTATCATTAATGAATATGCAAGCAGGTTTTTACGTAAATATTTATACATATAATTGTGTTATGATATGACGATTTTAAATGTAAGAGTATAAGATGTTTTGTGCCATATGCTTTGGTTATGTGTATGTATATGTATATTTTATTATGTATATATGTATGTATGTATTTACCTTGTGGTGGCCATCGGCTGTAAGATTGTCGTCATCGGTTGCTATAACCGTGGCGACTCGATAAGAGTCCGCTCTCCCGTGCTAAAATTATCACAATGGACAAAAACGAAATATAAATGAAATGATTTAAGAACAAACAAGAAATTTCATAACAAAAACAAATAAACAAACGAGCACAAATAAATATTTGTATATAGTAAATAAAAAATAATATATATATATATATATATATTATTTAATAAAAATAAAAAATACAATGAATAAATTACGGATATATTACGAATAAATTTAATAACTATTAAATTATGAATAATAAAAATAAAATTACAAATAACAAATAACAATCGAATTTAAAAAGTATTATATATGCCATACAAATTAAATAACTTTTATATTTATAAATTTAATGAAAATATGAAATTGTCTTTCTTTGGCAATTGACAGAACAAAATTTAATGCAATTTACCTATCAACAATTTCAATCGAAGCTTAATTCAAAAACAAACACAACAACAACAACATTACCATGGCAACATTAACAACAAATAATTTGCTGTAGAAGGACAAACAACAATGAATCATGTAATCTATTTTATGTTTAGCCCTAATGTCAAAAATAGATGTATTGGTATGTCATGTTGTATGAATTCTATACTATAGGATAGCATAAAAGTTAATAACGATGACGAAAGTTTATTTCGTTATGTGTGCATAACACATTTCCCATTTCATTCCCCCAATAAATTAACTTTCATGTCTGTGTACTACTGTCATTGGAACAATAATTTGTCAAGAACGTGTGTCATCCTGCGGTATACCATAATAATATATAAAAATAACAATATTAAAAAAAACCATACTGAAAGTATTATATAAAAAATTGCCAACAAAAAAAAAGAAACAAAAATTCAATAAATTAAAATAATATAAAAAGAATTTTTGTTGTGTAGTTTACTTTACTACTCTTTGAAACCTCTCTATTAATAAAGTACAATTTATGAAGTAGCAAAATAATTCGAAAATAGTAATAGGGAAGCACATTGTTAAGAAAGAGGACAACTTTAGTACAAAACAATAAAAACGACATGAGTATCTTCTTTTAATATATTTTTGTAATAAGACAAACATTTTTCAACCGGCGCATGTGTACTTCATAATATGGAGAAAATAAAAAAAAAAAAATTTATAAGAAAAAATAAAAACAAAAAAAAATGTACTTGTAATTCAAAATGAAATAGGATGTAAAATACTGGAAAAATCTAATTACATTTGGAAAGATAAAAATTACAAAATATTTATATTTATGTAAGTATATATACACATCTATATAAATGTATCTGAGTGCATCCAAAATGAAGGGAATGATTAGGAATGTACTTGATTTTTTTTTAATAATTGTTAAAATTTTTATGTAACTTTTTTGATTAAAAGTCAGAGGTTAGAATATGATCTTGAAGTCAAGGATAAACATACAACATGTATGACTTCGGAATTAGTCATAACTCTATGCAAGTCGATTGGAGATAAAATTTTATATAAATTATTTTTGAAAATAAAATAATATACTTTTGTTATATACAATATTGTATTCATCAACTATTTTTACAACAATAAATTATTTAACAGAAGATTTACACAAGAGTGGCTTGTCTATATTTAGACTATTTGAAAATATTGATTTTGACTTCTTTATAATGTTAAAGATAATAAGTTTTTTGATTATTGCCGGGCGGGCTTAGGAGTTTTAATTAACACATAAAATCACAAAAAAAAAATTATAAAAATTACACTTATTAATTTGTGTTAAATATTTTAATTTCTATAAAAAATGTTTATATTACAGATATTACGGTATTACATCGTATTTCGTAAGTAACATAAATTAATAAGTGTAATTTTTATAATTTTTTTCATTAATTTGTGTTTAATAAACGACCTGGTAATAATCAAAAAACTTATTGTAAATTGATCGTAATAATTAGTTAAAGACAAAAAATAATAAGAATATTCTGAAGACACTATAGTCGAAACATTTGTGAAAATAATATAAATTTTAAAAATAATTTAAAAAGTTACGTATTATTTGAACAATTGAATAAAAAACATGTTTCGAAACTAAAAATAATGAATTAATAAAATATCTAATTGTTCGTTTTAGATAAAAACGAATTTATATAATACTAGTCTGAGATTTAAACCACTAAAAGATTATTGTAACTAGTATATTTTTAACAATGAAAATAAACATGTTCATATATATGCACATATATTTTTTCTAATTATTCTATTTCTAAAACAATGTTTAATATTTTAATTATTGTTAAGTCAAAATTGTTTGTACCGGTAAGTACAAAAAAAAGTATTAATTATATAAAACTGCTATTATTGAACTCCTTATTTTTAAAGTGCGTAAATGACTAAATTACTATTAAAATATATTAAATTTATATATATATATATATATATAAAATGATATAGCCTAAGTAATTATCTTCTCATGTAAGCGCGAATACTTTCAGTTATATTCTGTTTATTAATATAAAAGCGAATTAAAGCTAAACAATTATTATTGTGTGTTTTATGGAAAAATATTTCCTACTAAAGGCATAAATTACTAATAACTAAATTTTGCAAAAATCCATAAAAACATGTTTAGTACGATTGCACGTTTATAACTCGTGACAGCTGGAAATATATTAACTGACTACTGGAAAAAAAAATGAATTGTTTATATTTAAATAGCTAACCGCCAACTAAATTGTTATTGTTTATTACTTTATTACTTATCGAACGTCAAGTGTGTTTTTGTTTTTTTTGTTTTGTACCTCTTTAACTAGAAAAAATCACATATTTTGAAAAGTATTAAATTATTTATGAGTTTTAGGAATTTTGCGTCATAACTGTGTTGTTATTAAATGTGACAAATAATAAATAAATTTTTTTGTTTTCATTTTTTAATTTAGTTAAATTTTACTTGTGTGGTATTTCAAAAAAACAAAAAAAAATATTTATATTAATTATAAGCTATTTAAATTCTATGTACTGACGTATTATGCATCAAAACTCAGTTGTAAGTTAAAAATATTTAATTGAGTCATATATATTTGGACTATATGGTATATATTTATGGTTTTATGAATAATAAGAACAAATAAATAAATATATAAAATTTTATTTACAAACTTCTTATGTATTTTACTCGTAAAGCTTAATTACGGGTTTAGGAGAATTAGTTGAATCATAGTTATTTTGATTTTATTTAATTAATTATTAATGTTAAATAAATAACAAGAAGCTCAAATTATTTAAACTAATGCAGAATTTAGCAAAACAAATGTTATTAAAAAAACAACAAATAACAGCAAATAAAAAAACTTACCGATAACAAAGAATAGAAACTTGATAAGTAAATTAAATACAAAACAAATTCAAAAAAAAAAACTTAGACTAGCAAAAGCAGAGGTTGATATGCCGGGTCTGGTCAATAAAATCAATTTTCAAATTTTATAAAGCAAATTAAGAAACTTCGAACCTTTCAAGCATCAAAAAAATATATATTAAAAATTAGCACAATTTAAATACGAACATTTAACATTAACAATATAAAATGCTACAAATTTTATAAGACAACAAAAAAAATTTTAACATACACACAACAAAAAAATCTGGCAGGGTTTGCAATAACCCACAACAAAATAACAACAACAACAAAACTATATGAAAAAAATTCATAAATAACCAAAAACATTTGTAAAATATTTCGTAAAAATACGAATCTTTCGCGACGTTCAATGTACTTGAATTTTTTTTTAAACAAAAACAAATAAATATATACATACATATATAATGTATATAAAAATGTGTTATAAAATATTAAAATAAAATTTGGCGCAAACAAACGTGCTAGCAGATTTCATTATCGTTTTCATTTCTTTCATTTTTACGAGCACAAACACATGAAGAATAGTTTTCAAGTTTTTTTTTTCAAGTGTAGCAGCACTCGCTGATTGTTTTTTTTACTATTTTTACTATTTTTTTCCTCTGTATTTATAATTATTTGCATAAGATTCTATGCATAGAAGAGCAATGTTAGGCACTTCTATGTAGAGAATTGCTTTTATATCAATAAATTTATATGTGAACTTGCACACAATCTGTACAAAACAAATCAATACAATTAATAATTTTGTTTAGATACAAATTTCTTTTCTTTCAAGTGTGCTGCTCTACATACAAATTTTATTTTATTTTATTTCATTTCTTTATATATCGAAATAAATTTGCTTACGCACTTTTAACTATCGTATGCAAAGCGTATATTGTATTGTATATTGCTGTAGTGATATATATATATAGTTATATATAGTTATTTATTTCCCTCTTAAATGAAAGTTCAAAAAACCTCAGATGTTACGTTTTTATATGTTCGGATGCAGCAGCAGTATTGTTTGCGTATTTGCGTATAAACAATACAACTCGATCAGTGATGATCGATGGAATTGTATCTGTTACTAGGTTTTATTATTGCTTTTGGTTTTTGTTTTAGCTTAGTTTTATTGTTTTTTGTTTATTATTTTTTTTTATTTATTTTATTTTAAAATTATATTTCACTTATTGTTTCGACGAATTGAATCTGCTCAAACAGTTGTTGTTGTTTGATGTTCGTTGCGCTCGATCTTCGGCGTAATTTAGACAACCTATTTTTTTTACATTTTAAAATTTCCCATTTCCATTTCATTTAATCGAAAAAATCCAATTGGATTTTTCAATATTTCACATTTATAGGAAAGAGAGCAGAATATGAGCAAATGTTGAGAAGAAAAGAAAAAGAGCATAAAAAGAGAGCACAATTAATATTAAATAAATAAATAATTTATATTCATACATATTCAACTTAGTTATTTAATTCTATTAATACTACTATTAAGTAAAGAATTACCAAATGTTCTTAATTAATGTATTCGCTTTAATTAATTATTAATTTAATGTTAATATAATTAGGTTGCACTAAATAGAACAAATATTTTAAATATTATAACGTGTTATTTTTAAAGTAAGTTACAAATAAACCTTCAGACTTA